TGGTGGCAATGTGGCCGTCAGCATCACCATTTGTGTCTTGACCGGCAGCAGCTTGCCTAGCTGTTGCATCTGGGGCCGGAAGTTGACTTGGTCGTTGAGCACCGTGTGGCATAACCGTGCCACCTTGATGATCCATGACAATATTGGTGGGTAGCTCTCCGCGTCGCGCCATCCATACTCCCCCCGTCCCAGCACCGCCAACGCGTCTACCAGCGCGCACTCATAATCCTCCACCTGAACCCGCTGGTTCAGCAGCTCAATGCAAAAATCCAAACATGCCATCTGGATCTTGGTTAATTTGAACTTATCTTCTTCTTCTGACTGCGTATCTCTCTGTCCCTTCTCCTCCTCCTCTTCTTCTTCCTCAGTCATCTGCTCATCCATGGGGTCTGGGCTGATGGAGTGTCGCTGGTCGGCTCCCTCTGTGGTGGCTACCTGCCATAATACCCTCCATGTCTTGCGCTGCCGTGGTGTGAACCGGTACTGTGGGCTCGTCCATTCATGCTCGACCTGCGTTCGGGCGAATAACATCAACATCTGCTGCCATGGCCTCACGTGCTCGGCGATGCTCTCCTCGTCCATGTACGCCTGCAACGGGGTGTGCCGGGTCTGGTGTCGCTCTGTGCGGATGGCCTCGATGCGGACGAAGTGGCCCAGCCGTGTGATGACTCGCTGGCTGGTACGGGCAACCTGACCCATGGCCTCCCAGATGGCCCTCGCGGCCAGTTCATCTGGGCACGTGGTGTCATCCTCGGGCCGCTGGACGCAGTTGACCAGATCATTGGGTGCGATGTTGGTCAAGTACACCGGCCATCTGGTCCGCCGCAGCCATGGGTTGGCTTCATCGTGCTCCCCGGCCTGGATGACATTGCTGGTCTGCCGTTGCTGTTCCTGGTAAAATCGCTCCAGCTCATCAATGGCCTGGCTGGCTCTGTTCTGGTCTGGCGTGCCGGTATGCTCAGTAGTCTCCTTAGTCTGGATCTGTATGTAGTGGGAGCCCTTGCGCGATGCAAATATCTGCTGGAACTGCACCTTCTGGCATGATCTGTCCACCTCATCCTGTGCTGCCGTACGCTTTTGTGGCGCTGTACGGCCACGGCTGGGATATGGCGACCAGCTGTGCTTGTTCTGCCAGTGCTTGCGCATGGTGTTCATGTTCCCTGCCACATACTGGCACTGGGGATCCCGCTGGCACCTGAAGCCATCTTGAATGGGTAGTTCCGGGATTGGTTCATTCAGTATTGTGGGCAGTGTTAACTGTGTAGTATGTGGGCAGAGTTAACTGTGTAGTATCTCGAGCCACATTGTCCCACTGTTCAATGTTCTCCTTTATCGGCTGAACCACCGCATGCTTTAGCTGATGGGCCTTGCCTATGATTGCCGTTCAATCTCTGTTGACCACACAGCGTGCGTGCACGAA